TCCGATTTCATGCTCACCATTTGGGACTGGACAAATGAACGAATGCTGTTACATAGTAAGGTAAGTTCTCACCGTGCTAGCAATCTGTCTCCCATGCTGCTGGACGCCGCAGGCGTTTGGCCAGGATATACTTGGTGTTCAATTTTCTCCGCATGATGATGGACGACTAACGACGTCGGGCACCGGTCATATCCGCTTCTGGAAAATGGCAAACACCTTTACAGGCCTTAAACTTCAAGGGGATATCGGTAAATTTGGCAAGGTGGCAATCCTGTAACCCAGTTTTGAATACTGATGAATAAGTCAAATAGGTGGAGCTTTCTGATATTAAAACATTTGCGGAGCTGCCTGATGGTAAGGTCGTTTCTTCTACAGATGCAGGAGCCCTCTTAATGTGGGAAGGTAATTTTATCAAGTTTCGAGTGATGCGAAGTAAAGACCACGCTTGTCATGATGGAGAGGTCAGTAAATCCACCCCAGCACCCAATCGAACAACCCCAATCACAGGTGACCTTCTTGACTCTTTGGGGGGGGCTACAATTGATTGTTACAGCAGGTTTAGATGGGTGGGTGCGTTGTTGGGACATGAGAGTGATGATGGATGCAGAGGCAGACGCTGATTCTTCACTGGACGTGTATCTAGAGCCTGCCCACGAGCTTAGATTGACATCATCTTGTGGTGTCTCTTGCGCACACGCTATGCTCCTAGGCAGTTCAGCAGGCGGAGCCAAAAACCTCATTTGTGATTTACATGGTGCATTGATACAGATCTCGACGAAATATCTCGAACCAACAATCCCCCCTTCGTGTATCTTGGATGATGCAGAAATACTGTTCGAACGTGTTACCACGCACAGCTCAGCGTCGTACCTCGTGTTGGAGATTTTTGCTGACATAGTGCATATAACAGGTTTCATGCCGGGCCAATAAGAGGACTGGCATGCTCTCCCCATGATCACTTTGTGGCGACGAGTGGTACAGATGGCACAGTGCGCTGCTGGGACTACATAGCAAGGAAACAACTCTTCGTCTCGAGCTACACAAATGCGGCTACTTGTTTGACTTGGGCGCCTCTGACGCTAGATCCACAAGCACGCACAATAATTGTTGGTTTCACTGACGGCGTTGTACGTGCCCTTTACCGTGCAGAGACAGCTTGGCTTCGAATACAATCATTTAAGCCACACAATGGGCCAGTAAATGCTTCTGCTGTTTCCTCCGATGGTAAGGTTCTTGCAACGGGCGGACATGACGGACTCGTCTTCTTCATGAGATGTGTTGAGTTTGATTTGGGGCATTCACCTGTACCCTACACACCCATAGGGTTTAGTAGAATAGGTGGCCCTATTCGGTCGCTTTGTTGGCGTGATGACAATGAGGCCCTATTGATAACATGCTGGGATGGTACCTTGTACGAGCTTGAATTCCGCGGGGTACCTGAACCCGAAGCTGCAAGTTCGTTTTTCTTGAACCTTCCTCTCGAGAAACGTAATATAGACCAACCGGCTGCAAACACGGACCAGACTTCAGATGAAGTAGACCCAGATACTAAGAAAATAGCGAAAGAGTTCGGCCGAGTTTCCTGTGCTATCTACCCAAAAATTAATCATCGACTTCTTGCCACTTTTACTTCACCCAATGCGGGTTACGTCTTTGAGGTTGACTGGCAGACGGTACAACGACCACGTTACGTATCCGTGGGTGCTCACCCTGGCTGCAAGCAACCAACGGTCACCTTCCTTGCTTATTTTCACCAATTTGAGTGTCTCGTTACGGCACATGATGATGGTGCGGTGACACTGCGCAACTTTGCCAACTTTGACGAGAATTTTCTTCGCATTCAAGCGCACGATGGTAGTGTCGGGGTCAATGAAGCGTGCTTATCTCACGACGGCAACTTGCTTTTGTCTGTTGGAAACGATGGTTTGCTTGTCGTGAATCGAGTGATCCTAAAAAACCTTGAAAATGTTGTTGTTCCTGATCCTGAGACATCACAGATGACGCCCCTTCTTACAAAAACAATAAATGTTACAACACCGGAGGGACTCGAGTTCAACTCTGATGACAAACGCTATCCATCAGTTTCCTCGGATGCACCAGGTGATGTGCACGATGTAGCTAAAGAAAACGCGGTAACTCCCGCCGAAGATGTGCTAAGCGATGCGTATTCACTCGAAGATGAACGACTCAAATCTGATGAAGATGCGTGCCGGGCAGCAGCAGAAAGAAAGAAAGAAGTTGTGCGCCAAATTGTTCTACAGATGCGTCGTGATTTTGAAGAGCTTGAACGCGAGAACAGTGTGCTTCCTGTAGAACAGCAGCTTGACTCTCATGAACTCATTGTTGATCCAGCCTACGTGCAGACCCTAGAGGACCAGGGAGAATTTTTGGTTGAAGAACTACGCCGTGAGCATTTATACTCGAGCGAGAAGTCAAAAGTTCAGCTAAAAAAGCTGAAGGACTATTTTTTGAGCGATCTCGAGAAGCAAAGCAATTTCGTTATGGAGGGTCAGTCAATGCGTGCTCTGCTTTCATCTCACCGAGTAGGCTCCTTTAAAACTGCCCAGCTGACAGGTGCACTTAAGCAGCTACTCAATCAGGTTCACGCAAGCATGCGTGGAGAAGAGCATTCAAGCATGCATTTACGGACTAATTCGGAGGAAGTCAGCGTGACTCACGATCACGCGTTAGCAAGTGCCATGTCAACCGAGTCGGTGATGGAGGCCGCATCGAAGCCAGTTGACTCCGGGGATAGGCAATCGACCTTAGAGTGGCGCAAAATGATGAGAGCTCAGCGCAAAGCGAAACTTGCGGCCCTTTTACAGAAGAAACCAGCCGAGGATAGAGATGATCCACGAGATCTTAGTGCTATTGAACGATCTAAAGCTCGCTTGGGTGACTACAAGTTGAAATCTACAGCAGACTACGAAGTTCCACAAGATCAGCAAGTCAACGCATTGAAAAAGAGACAGCAGATGATGATGTTGCAAGAAAATATTAACTCCATTAAGGTGCGCTACAACAAACGTTTCTTGGCGCTGCGCGATGTGAAAAAGTTGGTCTTTCAATCCATAATAGAATCTAATCAACACCATCAAAGCCTGGAAGCTTCCATGATAAAACTACTTGATACCTACTTTCCCGAGAAGCGTTCATCTGGCGAATTAAAGTTCAATGACCCTCTATTCATGCAGAATGATATCAAGTGCAACCGAATTCCTGATCTTGGTGAGTGGCCAGACATTGCTCGGGCGGCATCTGCTGCGGAGGGGATTCATCAACATACAGAGGAGGATGCGCGCGCAGTGGAGGGGCAAATAGAGCCACAGCTGCTGCCTGGAACACTGGGTGAATTACCTTTGTTGCGTATGCTCTCAATTGCGATGCTGGTTGGCAAGACATCAAAATTAGAGAAAGATATAAAGTGGTGTCTAGTCGTGCGATTACACCATGAGGCAACCCTCGTGTCCTCGAAGATGAAAGAGCACGTTGATGCCTTTGATAGAGCCCTGTGTGAATTGCGAAAAGAGCACATTCCTCTCAACTCGGATCTAAAAGCAGCAGAGCTGAGACTCTTGCTTCTATTTCAGGTCACTTGCCCCCCCCCCCCCCCCTCACGCATGTACTGACTGCCAACCTGCTAGGAGCATGCCCTTCTTCAGACGTTTGAAGTGAAAGACAGCACACTGAAGATCAAGCTCGACAAGTCACAACAAGAAAACCGAGAAATCGACTCTGAAATTTTCGATTGCTCCTCAAGGCTTGTCACCAAAAAAACAGAGCTGGAAGCTTGGGAAGAAAAAGAGACAGCATTGAACACCGAATTTAAAGCAATGGTTCAGGATAATCACCCCTTCCAAGCTCCTCTACTCAAGGCCTTTCGGCGGAAGATAAAACGTCAAAAGAAAATTAATCAAGAGGATGATGGTGGCACAGAAGCTGACAACGAGGAAGAGGATGATGACCTTGACGATGATTTTGACGAGGACGATGATGTGGACGACAGTTGTCCCCCCGGCTGCGATGCAACTCTTTATGAGCATGTAATCGAACTACGTGACAAGCGGCTAGATCAAGAAGAGGTGCTTACAGATTTCCAGCGTGTTATTGATGACTTGAAGCGAACCCTCGACCGCCACAACCAACGGAAAAAGCAAATAGAGCGCGACCTTAATTCATTTGCAAAAGAGATTCAAAGTTTTCAGACAGAAAAACAGCAGCACCTGAACCAGTGACGTCGAGTGTCGATAATCTTGTGTGTAAATATTTGTGCATAGATTTGTCCAATGACAGGTTGCACACAATATGTTCCCTACATCTAAACCAAGTTCATATATTCAACAACAACCAGACATATGGTGATGAGCTGCCAAGCCTGAAAATATTAATGAGGCACGACTACGACCAAAACGCACAAATTGAGCTTCCTCCAGACGCCGATATCACAAATGCGGTCCTATTTTCGAGGCATAGGCTCGAAGCCATCTACCATCGCATCGGCACTCTAGAAGCTGAGAATAGAGCAGAACGTGCAAACTTCAAGGAGCTGCATAGAGTGAAAAGCCGGCTTGAACGTGCCAAAGTAGCACGGGAAGCTCAAATTGCTCAACTAAGGAGTAAATGTGATGACCTACAAATGCTCAAGTATGCCAGCTCTATCTGTCCGCACGATAGTACTTTTTCTTAGGTTTGGTCAGTTGATCAAGCTTGAGCTTCTGGATCGTGACTCACAGGCAAACAAAGGCACGTTGCCCATAATGAATCAGCAGTTTAAATTAT